CTTGAAACAGTCCAAGCAAGTCCCATACAAGTCATTCAAACTCCATTTATTCGTCTGTACAACTCAAACGTTAGGCTGCATATATCAATCCTGCATACCATGATAACACTTAGTACAGTGAGACGATAGCTTATACAAGTAATTTATTACAACATCTAGACCTGTTCTGAAATTGGTCTGCGACCTTTGCAGTCCCTCTTCATTCATGGAGGTAGGAAAGCACTTAGAAACTGAATTATTCCTCATTTTCTCAGCAACACCTGCAACACAAGCTGTTCATCCTCCAGGACACAGCACGGCTGGATGATACACCCTCTTTAAATCACTGAAAGCTAAACACCCTAATGATCACCGTTTTGACTCTAGTTGAATGCTACCTGATCCAACACAAGACATCAATACCTGGGAAACACAACTTCAGCCACTCCCCCATCTAGATTTCCAGAATAGCCTTGCTCCAAGGTTTCATTGAAAGATAAGTCCATGGATGTGTAGTAATTCTATCCTCCTAATAGGCAAGTCTAGATATGTGGACCCAGTCTCTGCTTATTGGGACAACTTATTCTTATTATTCTTATTATTTACATAATCTAGAAAATATGTTTTAAACTAATAATTATTGTCTTAGAGACTTGTGCAAGTCTACAGGGGGACTAACATGGACATGTCGTTCCATGACTCGGTAAATCAGCTGGTGGTGGCAGGAACTGCCTGGATTCGTCCCATGTTGCATGGTTGTGGATTTAATAGGGTTGGAATGAGTTGCCCGGTGATTACTACCTGTCCCCCCTCCTCCATCACCGGGGGACAGAAGCTACACATCTCACCTCCATTCACGAACAGGGAGGAAAATAATGCACAATTCTTCGTATCTATCACAAACCCATTGAGAAGCAAATGATTAACATAAATAAAATCTTGCACATGATTACTAACGGCAGACACAAGATCCTACCCAACTCAATGTACGCAGGATTTGGGATTGGCTTACTTTATAGGCCTAAGAGATTTTGTTCAAACTTAGTGATGATACAGAATGTCAGGTCAAAAGTTGATAAAATCATAGAATGTCTTAACACCATTTGTCTCTAGCAAAATCACTGATCATAAACCATGGACAAGAAAGAAGTGTACTGAGACAACGTCTGCAGCTACAGCCTCCTGCTGAAGCCTGAATATTCCCACCCAGGGAGACCCGCTTACATTTTATGCTGCTTTTAGCATTATTCCAGCAATATTACGGCGGGAGACACCAGAAATAGGCTTCACACATTGTACTCATGTTGGGAATCGAACCTGGGTTTTAGGTGTGACGAGCGAACGCTTTAACCACTAGGCTACCCGATGTCCTACATCTAAATATAAAGGGAAGGATCATGTCATAATCTGGAGTTGTCCAATGGGGTCCTTGAGGTTGGCTCCATTAGTGTTTGAGTCCAGGTCCCTCTGACTCTTGACCTGTTTACATTTATCAGCTCAGGACAAGGATGCTGTTCTGGCTGTTGGGAGATCTGGGATGATCCAGACATACAAAGTTTTTAGTAGAAAAGAGGTCGGTCTATTTTATCATTAAAGTCAAGTAGGCACATGAAAAATTTTCCTGCTGCACAAACTGCATAAATATTTAGTCTTGCACACTCTTAATAGCTACAGTGTCAATGAATTGAAATAAACGAAAGGCTTAATATATTCATCACCAATACGGCTATCTTTACTTCAAACTCAAAATGTCTGCCTAAGTTGATTGAGTAAGTTGGTAGACAGTTGGGTTCATAAGTGGCTTACCACTGCATAACAATCAGACATCTTGCAAACAGTTGCAGTTAGCATTACACAGCAATAAAGCTTAGTTTAATATTGTAATTAATTATTCTTATTCTTGAGAGTTTATGAAACTCAATAGGAAAGAAATGCAACTGTCAGTTTGTTGAGAGCAAATCATGGTATGTATTTTTTTAACCAGGACAAGGTCTGTCACAGATAAGGAATGACCTCTCCCACAACACAATCAGCCCCAGTCCGGCTAGACTTGCACAAGTATCTAAAGCAATAATCATAATTAAATCCTAAGTTCTAGATTATGTAAATAATAAGAACAAGTTGTCTCTATAAGAGACTGGAGTCCACATATCTAGACTTGCCTATCAGGAGAATAGAATTACTACACATTCATGGACTTTTCTTTCAGTACAGTCTTGGAGCAAGGCTACAGTCGGGCCAACAAGGAACACTCACCCTAAACTTCATGTGTCTAGAGAATGTAAAAACTTAACCGACAAGTATCTATTTGTGGGAACAATTATACACATTTAGCCTTCACTTCAAGAGGCAGGCTTAAATGCCAGAGCCACTTATATGCCAATTACCATCACAACTCAATCCCCAAATCATGAATTTGTACTCAATTTTTCTGATGGAAGTTCTTTCTTTCTTTCTTCCCCAAAATATCCCACAACAACCATGACTCAAACAATTAGGGGTGTTCTTGAGTGTTCATCCGTGGCTCTAAATGAATCTGTGCATACAGGAAAAGGGTATAATGCAGGACAAATCTGGCTGTAACTTGCCTACATCCGCCACATAAACAACCCACTTAGATAAAGCAAGCAGGGCTTTGTGTTACAGGGAGTAACAAAACTAAGTTACTTTATTAGAAGCATCACATCGGGGCATGAGGCGATGAGATCAGCACCATGCTCTTCATCTGGGAAAGCGTTCTTCGTCATGGTAACACTCATTGACTTTATCTCCAGTTATCTCCCCTTTTTGACAACCAGGGGGAGATGATGCTCAACATTATACAAGGACAACACATAATATCACATCAAAGTATGAATAATCATAAACCTGGAACAGAACTTTTGACATCTTTGTCAAATCCAGCATCTTGAGAATCAAAAGTAGTACCAAGCCAAATGTGATCAGATAAAGCACAAACATGTTCCTTTGATAAAAAAGATGAATCAAAACAAAGAAATCTAGGTCTAAATACGGAACAGTATGAGTAACATGCTGAAAGCAGATACAGAAGCAGAGATGATGGAAACATCAAGTACATCAAGCCACATGGATAGATAGTGGTATTTTCAGCACTATCAGCCATGCTGCAACTCTTTAAACTGTCGAGGTGTGATACGGCAGATATACCATACTATTTGTGTCACGATACAATATTCACTGATTTCAAGATTTCTTCACATCCCTGATTTCTTCACTAACATACACTAGTGAGTGTGTTGGATATAATGCTGATTTGAACAGTATTTCAATTATATCCCAGTGTGTCAGCTTGATGTGACCAAGAATAAAAAAACAAGAGAAATCAAGGATAAAAAACTCTGATTCTGCCACATTACTCTGCCTCAGATGACGAGGCTACCCATGCCCTCTCACCAACATAAAGTATAGCTTATAATGCCACACATCATATTGGGTATTGTATCACAGAACTACCAGTGCACAGATTCACTGGAGAGCAAAGCCTATAGGGAGCACCATTCTTCCACTGGGTGTGATGCTACACCAGTGCAGACAGCCTGGGCTGACAGTTTTCCTGGTTATCCACTACAAGCATATCTGAACATTGAACAGAGCTCCAGATAAGCTGCGTATCTGCTTTAAATAAGCATCAGAAATGCAGAAATATGAAGTAAAATACAATCCAAGTGTATCAAATACGCAACCAACATTACAGATACGCTACAAAAATAAAACTTGTGTGTATCATCAAAATATTGTGAAGTAACCCTGCGTATTCGATTAGCAAATCAGCAGCTTATTTTATAAATTTATAAACGGGCATTCCGTCAACCTTGACAAACTCCACGATGACAGTTACATCATGATCATTTGCAAGTATCGTGGTATTTTTGAGTCCTATAAAGCTCTCGAACCCAAACGACACCAGTTTGGAGGAACTAGAAGAATAGTGTTTTTAAATATTTAACTTAAATACCCACATGTGTAAAAACTAGTGGGTAACAGAAATTTGAATACCCAGATAGAATTACTGATACCCAATGATTTAAACATGCATGGGTAAAATATCCACAACACCAAAAGCTTAGCTGGAGCTCTGTTGAATATTCAGGCCTGCCCTATTCGTATCACCATTTCCCACAGGACGCATGGAACTGACATGACCACTATTGATTGAAGGTACATTGGGGCGCAGGTTGGTATTTGACTCTGAAACTTGGTCCTTTATAAGAGCTCACTGTATCTGACTCTACTTGTGAATTGGCAACCCGAGACATCTCATGATTTAGCTTTGACCTACTTGGTCGGACAAGAAATGGTCTTCATTTTTGCAAAACCGTCTTCATTTTGTTTGATAGGCAGAATATGGTAGTTGAAATTTAGAACATTTACTGCATCAAAGGATCTTGAAAGTAAGTCTTCAAAACATAAACTGTCTACAATTACCATAAATCATCAACTAAATGTCTGTCCTACAGACCCATCAGAATAGAGTGTAGTAGGTGTTTTATTCAAGTTTTTCTGTCTGAAATGTTCTCAATATTACCATAAAGACGCAAAATCAGCTTTGACTCTCACTTAGTTTCCATTGGTTGAATAATTTACATCCAAAAAAGGCGTTTACTCCAGACAGGCATTTATTCCAGGATTTATGGTATTATGTTGTACATGTGATGACTGTGTCTTGCAGTGTGTACAGGAGACAGCATGGTAAGGCCTGTGCACCAATAGGTCAAATACAGCAGCATTGTGTCTGGAGGTGCAACCATATGGGATACAATACGTATCACCATACAGGGAGAGCGATATAATTCACCAAATTACCAAACACTGAATTAGTGATGCAAATATGTTTTTTGACAAATTGAGACCCATTTTGATATATTACCATCAAATGATTAGATTGGGTATCATTTGTAACATGGTACGGAGCTTGTGGTCCGCTGTGTTACTGTAAGCCGGGTATGGTGATACGGTACGCTGAGGGCAAGGACGAAACATTGAAAGGTGACAGAACTTACCGGGAACAGAACATCAGCACCCCACGTAATCCTGCACACGGGTTGGTCAGTTTACCCGGTATTCTCTGAAAAGAAACATAAAAATGTATCAGATCATTGAATACGAGACTGAAAGAGGTTTAAAATCAATATGTTTATTTTTCTCAAATTGTTCAGTGAAATACAAAGTCACCTCTACAAAGCAACAACACTAGTTATTACTATACATAAGTTCATAGAGAACAATGACGAACGAAACGTGGTTTATTTCACGATAAACCATAGTTTTATCATGACGTCATTTCTGGAGATTTGGACATGTGTAACTTGATAACGTTGTATATACGACCATGTTACTTTTGAGAGTCTAGTGACTTGTTCCCCATAGATGTAGCTGGGCAATGCAGATAAACACGATGGCCGATCATTGCATCAAAAGTGGGAGAGATATGATAATCAGTATTTGGAGAAAAGGTACAGGTAATCAACGTGAGGATTGTGAGAATTTGTGAGAAATACCCACCTGTGCATAAAATGGACTTCTCTGACATTGCCGAGGTTAGATTCTATTGAGGGAGTCATTATTATTTAAATACAGGTAAATATTTTTAAAGCTTGTACATTTTATCATCATCCTGAAACAGGCTGTACATAATGTTGACATCTCATATAAGAAATTATTGAATCATGGTCGTTGTTTACGTACAAAAAACATTGCAGGGAGAATAGTGAGTGAGTGAGTGAGTTGGGTTTAACGTTGCTTTTAACAGTATTTCAGTTATATCATGGTGTGTCAGCTTAATGTGTGAGGAAAGCCCAAAGTGATGCAGGTCTCAGATGTTTACCTCTTCGGTGAAACCCTCGAGCACGGGTATGGTGCTGACAAACCTAGAGACATAATCGGGGCGAATAAACCATGAGGGGTGCATAACATGAATTTGGAAATTTGTTTTTCCAATTGTGAAAGTTTTACTAACATTGGCTGCAGACTTGGGGATGATATCAGCCTCTGAGCACATGCAACACTCATGTTATGTGGCTGGAATATTGCAACAAGTGGCTAACACTGAACTCCTTCCCTCACCACCTGGGCTCAGAAATAGAATAACGCAGGTCACACAGCTCAGGAGAGAGTGGTTCATGACAGTCTGACATCAGCAGTCTCCGCTGACCTGAGCATGATATTGATTGAAGCTGTCTGATGCCCCCTTGTAAGAGTGCTACAGGGTACATCAGATGGGTTTCTGTATGACTCAACAGTGACTGATAATGGAAATGTTAAAGGTTAAAGATTTAGGTGGTCCCCAGACTCAAATACAACATGAGGAAACCTCAAGGACCTGTGACATTAATGGTTTTAATAGAACAAACATTTCGGATCCTTTCACATGCGACTAAATAAGTTATACACCTTTAATCCTGACATAGCAGCACAAAGCAGGCCCATGGGGGTCATCTGACCCTTGATTGTATTGTACCTATGTAGGTCATCTGACCCTTGTCCATGCCCATGTAGGTCATCTGACCCTTGTCTGAACCTATGTGGGTCATCTGACCCTTGTCCATACCTATGTGGGTCATCTGAACCCTTGTCTGTACCCATGTAGGTCATCTGACCCTTGTCTGAACCTATGTGGGTCATCTGACCCTTGTCCATACCTATGTGGGTCATCCGACCCTTGTCTGTACCCATGTGGGTCATCTGCCCCTTGTTTGTACCCATGTAAGTCATCTGACCCTTGTCTGTACCCATGTGGGTCATCTGACCCTTGTCTGAACCTATGTGGGTCATCTGACCCTTGTCCATACCTATGTGGGTCATCCGACCCTTGTCTGTACCCATGTGGATCATCTGCCCCTTGTTTGTACCCATGTAAGTCATCTGACCCTTGTCTGTACCCATGTAGGTCATCTGACCCTTGTCTGAACCTATGTGGGTCATCTGACCCTTGTCCATACCTATGTGGGTCATCCGACCCTTGTCTGTACCCATGTGGATCATCTGCCCCTTGTTTGTACCCATGTAAGTCATCTGACCCTTGTCTGTACCCATGTGGGTCATCTGACCCTTGTCTGTACCCATGTGGGTCATCTGACCCTTGTCTGTACCCATGTGGGTCATCTGACCCTTGTCTGTACCCATGTGGGTCATCTGCCCCTTGTTTGTACCCATGTAAGTCATCTGACCCTTGTCTGTACCCATGTAGGTCATCTGACCCTTGTCTGAACCTATGTGGGTCATCTGACCCTTGTCCATACCTATGTGGGTCATCCGACCCTTGTCTGTACCCATGTGGATCATCTGCCCCTTGTTTGTACCCATGTAAGTCATCTGACCCTTGTCTGTACCCATGTGGGTCATCTGACCCTTGTCTGTACCCATGTGGGTCATCTGACCCTTGTCTGTACCCATGTGGGTCATCTGACCCTTGTCTGTACCCATGTGGGTCATCTGACCCTTGTGTGTACCCATGTGGGTCATCTGACCCTTGTCTGTACCCATGTGGGTCATCTGACCCTTGTGTATGTACCCATGTGAGTCATCTGACCCTTGTCTGTACCCATGTGGGTCATCTGACCCTTGTCTGTACCCAGGTGGGTCATCTGACCCTTGTCTGTACCCAGGTGGGTCATCTGACCCTTGTGTGTACCCATGTGGGTCATCTGACCCTTGTCTGTACCCATGTGGGTCATCTGCCCCTTGTTTGTACCCATGTAAGTCATCTGACCCTTGTCTGTACCCATGTGGGTCATCTGACCCTTGTCTGTACCCATGTAGGTCATCTGACCCTTGTGTGTACCCATGTGGGTCATCTGACCCTTGTCTGTACCCATGTGGGTCATCTGACCCTTGTGTATGTACCCATGTGAGTCATCTGACCCTTGTCTGTACCCATGTGGGTCATCTGACCCTTGTCTGTACCCAGGTGGGTCATCTGACCCTTGTGTATATTCCCAGCAGCGGTGACGGTCACCTGCCACCAAGTTGCATCTTGTTAAGAACCTCTATTGAAACAAAGTGAAAGGATGTTGTTTATGGCAGTGTCAACAATATTACAGGGGATGAAAATAACAGAGTCAGGGCCAAACAAACAAGCTGTGTTGGAAATTAATGGGGTCGTTGATGTTGTTCCCATATTATTTGAATCTTGGGACCCCCTAAATTAAAATTTAGCTGTTAACATTAGGGCAATTACAAGGAGCCCTTGACTTCTATGTTTAATTTCCAACACCCAAGTGAATGATAGCACAACACAATCAATCAAGTAACACATGCCAAGCAGGACAAGGAAAGTGGCACAAAGTGGTCATGAACGCAGGAAAACAAACACCTGGTTCATGTGGATCCACTACCCACTGCTCCACAGTGATAGAAATTGGCACTAGTCCTGTAGTCCTGGCCAAACTGCCCAATGGTTAGGTATCATAAGGACTAGAAGACAATTTGCCATTTTTAAGGGTTTTGCTCAGGGGTCCGGAAAAATTTAAAATCCCAATCGGACATTTGCATTTAGGCCACGCCCCCTTTAAATAGCGTATTTTAGTACGTCTTTTCACCTACATTACAAGTTGTTACGTATTCATAATATGATGAATTATGAATTGTTTCAATTTAAATTGTTTAATTCACCGGACAATTAATAACAAATAATATCATTTTAGATATACATGGAAAACATACGTTTGTTTCTGTTATAATAACGATCTGTTCACGTAGTGAACGGTCTAATTAATATTGATGGGTTATATTCATAAGTCTGCTCAAGTGTACGCGTTGTAACATTTGGATCGAGACTATTATCCCATATTTGGTTATCACGTGACCTCACTGGAAAAGGGTTTTTTTTAAACTAAAGATTATTCAAAAACAAGTACTAAAATATCGTTGATAGTAATAGTTATTTGAATACTTTTTTCATCTGTACTTAATTATTGAGCATAAAAAAATTTGATATCGATCGTCACAGAAAGGAAAATGGCGGTCAATCAAGATTCAATATACGACTAGCTACTGAAAACAATAAAATCTGCAAATCCTCATTGTATGTCAACCAAGTGAAAGTCGTTAGCCACGACTTACAAAATGATCGTCCAGACTTTGAGGGTTTGGCAGATCCGCTCGACTGATCTGCATCAATCGCCTGGTTGTCGTCACGCTTTCGCTTCTTGTCTGAGTTTACGTATCTTAGCATTGTGAGGATAATGAGGTACATCGATGATGCAAGGTATTTATGTACAGTTGTAAACACCTTTCACTCAAATTAACAAGTTGTTCTCTGTAATTAATCCTCGATTAATCAGTGTCAACTCAGTTTATTGCCTATTACAGTGATTACAGCTTGGACTATCATGTAGGTACGATGTATTTACAGCAATCAAACAAACAAAGCTTGTCAGTGTAGATAATCTTCATTGTGTTACAACTGCAGACAGAAACTGCTCAGTCCTAACTGTTGATCATGTCCGGTCAAAATTTAAGAATGTCCGGACAATACTTTTTAAAATGTCCGGACAGAAAAATTTAAATGTCCGGTAAGCAATATTTTAAACCGGACATTTGACATTCCCAATCAGACATGTCCGGCACATGTGACGGTTTCCCAGGTTTTGCTATATGTTAGCATTTTAAGGACTAATGGACTAAAAATGTTTGTTTCTACTGCTGCTCCAGTATTATAAGTTCATTGCACAGTTTCAGCCAGACTAAAATCAAATACAGGTAGTGAGTCAAGGAGTATGGTTTTACGCCTCTTTTAGCAATATTCCAGCAGGAAACATCTTAGCAGGGGAAACCAGACAAGCGAATGCTTTAACCACTAGGCTACCACACTGCTCTCAAATACAGGGAAGACACGGACTAAACCGTATTCTTTGAGCTAAATGATTCTCCAAACCTTCAAACTAAATTACAAATATATGTACTAATTCCCTGACTGATTCCCTCATTGACCACAGATTGTCCGTCCTGCGGATGAGTCAAATAGCCAAGATGGGCCAGGCTTGATGACCCATCTACAGTGGCACATTAGGACAATGTCAGAGGCTGTGTCCTGCGGATGAGTCAAATAGCCAAGATGGGCCAGGCTTGATGACCCATCTACACTGGCACATTAGGACAATGTCAGAGGCTGTGTCCTGCGGATGAGTCAAATAGCCAAGATGGGCCGGGCTTGATGACCCATCTACAGTGGCACATTAGGACAATGTCAGAGGCTGTGTCCTGCGGATGAGTCAAATAGCCAAGATGGGCCGGGCTTGATGACCCATCTACAGTGGCACATTAGGACAATGTCAGAGGCTGTGGCGTGAAGTAGATGGAGCAAGTGGTTGTGTTTACATTCAGCTAACAGCGCACTCTAACTTCCTGTCTGTGTTTGATGTGCTTGTACCTGGAACCACTGCGAGTGTCCAAGACACCATCCCAGCAATCATCATTAATCTACCCTTCATTACCCACACAGATCTAAAACACAAAGAAGGCACAGACCATCTTTTGTTCACAGATTACTGAATAGGACAAAGAGCCTTGACCAATGATCATAAATGACAATGACCACTATTCTATTACTGTTCTCTGAGAGGGCAGATTGCGGAGTCGGGCACCTAAAGTAACCAAGATTCCCAAGGGATGCAAATAAGTAATCTGCTTATAATCTGAACTATCTAAGATCCTGACAGATATTTCTTGTGTCAGAGGCGGAGTGGACTCAAGAAGCCACCCCCTGCCACCACATGCCTCAGTTGATACATTACCCACAGCAGGTTTCACTTCATAATCCAGACATAATCTCAACCAGCAGTTAACCAGTCCTGGCTGTACATTGGCAGCCATAATCCAGACCTAATCTCACACAAGGATCTAATCCCCCTTGACCAGCAGCTGACCAGTCCTGCCTGTACATGGGCAGCCTTAAACTGCCTCAGTGGCTGCTGCCTACAGCCTAGTCCTGCACCTACCTACAGCCAAACAACCACCATTGATCATCACAAACACTGTTGTTGTAATTATCCAATTTCCATGAACATTGACAGACCTTGACCAATTTCTTGACAGAGAGAGTGTGGTATGCTCTTTGGAGATCATTCCTCAATCAAATCCTTCCACCTCAGATGCTTGAGAAAATATTTTCTTACATTCTGGTGTTTGAAGCAGACGCACCAAGAGCAGACGGCTATGGCAGGAGATAATGAAGAAGATACTACTACTGTAGTATGGAGAGGAGAGAGTATCTGATGGCAGATAGGAAATGGCTTGTTTTCTCTGCCTGGAAGTGCAGCCAGCACCACTCCTGGTATAAATAGATCCACAACTTACAACTGCTCCTCCTCGTTATAACGCCACATGTGGGAGCCAGCACATCAATACCAGCTCTGCTGCTCCTCTCCTTATAAGGCAAACACTGCACACTATATTTCATACAATATTTCATTCCTGATTATTTTTCAATAAAACAATCTCCCAAGTGAAAAAATATAGATATTCTAATTTAAAATAGAAATCCAAATAACACCAGATTTTCAAACAGAAGCTTGTTTTGTATATAAACCCTGAAATGAGCCTTGCCAAATTTCAATCACACGATACTCTCAGTTAATGATAGTGTTTATGATAACCTTTTCAAAACGTTCACGTAAAATACACACAAAACTCACAAAAATAACTGTTTATTTGTGTCATTCGGTTAGCATAAACATTTCCCAAAGTGTGTATATTTGAAACTTAAGAAAGTTCACTCCTTCCTGTGTATGTAAATACACATCACTACATAGCTGCAAGTGAGGACTGCTCCCTTGACTGCAGATGGAAACAAGGACTCCCCTCCCCTTCCTATATCCCACCACAACACATCTGTACAGCTCTTCTGTTTAAACTCTTCCCACCATAACACACCTGTCCAGTTCTACTGTTTAAAACCGGCGAAGAATAACCTTGTCTCATGGTCAACACAGCTGGTGTCAAACAATGATTAATTAGATTAAATAGGGATACTTAATTTGCAGAATATGAAAGAAATATTTCTAAAATCACACTTTCATGTTGCATTGCTTCTCTTCATTGCTAAGTCATTTTGACATGGACACAGGCAACCAACGGCGCTGCAATTCGCTATGCAGAGTTGCGTCACCTGGGCAGGCCAGAAACCTATCATAGTGGGTTCGAATCCCCGTTTGCCCCAATTATGTTTCTAGAATTGTTAGAACCATGCCCATGCTCCTGGGGTTTACTGAAGCGGTAAACGTCAGAGACCTGTACCACTTCGGGCTTTCCTTCCACATAAGGCTGATACATTAAGCCATGATATAACTGGAATACTGTTCAAAGCGGTGCTAAACCCAACTCACTCACTCTTATCACACAGCTTTCAGTGTCTCTAGCTACCTATATAAGCCTCACACCTTGGACTGATTTACTTGAACACTTATAGACTTAAAAGAAGCAAAGACATTTTATTGTGTATGATATTTTTATCATAGTCTACCCCTATATTAATATCACAAGAA